CAAAAGTACAGTTTTAAAATTAAATGTCGCTGAAACAGCAAGTTTCTCAGTGGATCTGCTCTCGATAATGCAGCCTAGGTGGAGTAGTCAAACAGATCCAATGAGCCTTCAACACAGAGCATCTTAAGAAGACAAGTTGATAAAATTAATTTTAAATCTGTATAGTTTGATACATAGTATGTATTGATTCTAAAGCACTGTATTGAACAGCTTGATTCAGATACATGTAGTGTTGCACCCCTACAACTCATGTTTTGTCATRATGACCAGATCTGCGAGGAGAGCTTTGAACCCACTTTGAGCTCATAAAAAGTCATAACTTTTGTGATACTTGAAAAGACAACAAATTATGATACAATCAGGTTGTTAAGCTTATCAAAGTGCAATAAATTATTTCTAGGATATAAACGCCCAGACATGCACTCCTGTACAAGCAGGTACAGCGTTAGCACAGAGTGAAACATTTGCTTAATATACTGCATAAGTCTTAAAGCACTTCCGATTGTTTTGTATTTTTTATGTCATTTTGAATTGACCTTTTGATCAACAGTAGTGTAGGTTTTTAGTAGGGATGTCCCGATCTAGATTTTTTGGCTCCCGATACAATCTGTTTTTTTAATGATTAGTCTTTCCAATACCGATCCAATAGCTTTATTTCTTTCCAAGTGACAAGGTTGGTAGCATTAAAGCGAGCCCTCCAGTTCCCACCATGAGAAACATCCAGTTTGCAGATTTTGCAAGATGCAGTTTCAGCATCATTGTTTTCCATTGAACAGTGTTCCCACACTTATTTATTATTTACATGGTTGCATTGTGTGCGTCTTGACTTTTTAACGGCAATTGTAAAGCATGATGATGCTAAAAACTATCGCGAAAACTGGATCGGCCCAATCACATGACAAAATCCGATTCTACCCGATTTTCAAAAAATAGCCAAATCTGCCACCGATACTGAGTATCTGAGCGGAACATCCCTAGATTTTAGAACGTCTTAGAATGTCAGTGCCAAACTATAAAAATGAAAAGCAACTTAACATAAATATTAGTGAAAACTCACATTTCAGATCATTGGCTTTAAGAATCTTANTGCATAAGTCTTAAAGCACTTCCGATTGTTTTGTATTTTTTATGTCATTTTGAATTGACCTTTTGATCAACAGTAGTGTAGGTTTTTAGTAGGGACATGCACTCCTGTACAAGCAGGTACAGCGTTAGCACAGAGTGAAACATTTGCTTAATATACTGCAGTCTTAAACCACTTCCGATTGTTTTGAATTTTTTTTTTGTCATTTTGAACTGACTTTGATCAACAGGTTTTTAGTAGGGATGTCCCGATCCAGATTTTTTGGCTCCTGATACAATCTGTTTTTTTAATGATTAGTCTTTCCGATACCAATCCGATAACTTTATTTCTTTATTTCTTTCCAAGTGACAAGGTTGGTAGCATTAAAGCGAGCCCTGCAGTTCCCACCATGAGAAACATACAGTTTGCAGATTTTGCAAGATGCAGTTTCAGCATCATTGTTTTCTATTGAACAGTGTTCCCACACTTATTTATTATTGACATGGTTGCATTGTGTGCATCTTGACTTCTTAACGGCAGTTGTAAAGCAGGATGATGCTAAAAACTGTAGCGAAAACTGGATCGGCCCGATCACATGACAAAATCCGATTCTACCCGATTTTCAAAAAATAGCCAAATCTGCCACCGATACTGAGTATCTGAGCAGGACATCCCTAGATTTTAGAATGTCAGTGCCAAACTATAAAAATGAAAAGCAACTTAACATAAATATTAGTGAAAACTCACATTTCAGATCATTGGCTTTAAGAATCTTACTAATGTCCAGAGTAGCCATCCCCAGAAGGAAGTCTGACTTTAGTGTTTGGTAACTCCAAACACGAAAAATAAGTTTGCTGACAGGAGTCACAATTCTGTAGAAAAGAGACAAGAATAAGACAAAATAAAAAACTTGTAAAGAAATAGAATTCATAAACACATAGGAAGTGTATGAAAATATTTTTAACTTTTGGTATTTTTATATCTTTTTTTCCATTTAAGTAGAGATGACTAAAATTCTAAGTATGTATTGTATTTACTGTAATATTTGCAAGTATTTTTAAATTCAATGAACTTACTTAATGAAGTTGTTAATTAATATTGTCTGGTGTATTTTGCTTAATTACTTTGATGCATACATTTCACATCCACTTTTATTTTAATGTGATCTAGAACCTTGACATACTTTTCCAATTTAACAGTACGATTTGATGTGTTCAGGTTTTTACTTGGTAATGTACATTTTCTTAAGCATACAGATCGTTAGCAGATGACAAAGGTTGGTAATTATAATGGAAGTTGTGTATATGAGTTTCCATTGCTAGCTTAGTCTAGTTGCTACAATGCAAATGTTCAATTTTACATTACTGCCTATCTGAAGCGGTGTGATGCACAAAAGTTGGCTCCACTTCATTATTAATTATTCATTCATTAATGTGATTGAGAAAGATGCCACAACGTAAAGCATTGTATAATAAGTATCTAATGCAGTGTCTCRCATTTGTATGACAGATAGAAAACCCTAATGTTCAACCAAGACATGGAGGTAAAACAGGCTTAAAAATAAAACACACTATACACAATGAACGCCGCTCATAGACAACACATCTAATATGGTAAAACAGCAAGAGTTTGGTGCATTTACTTTACTAACTCTTTATTATTATAAAAAACTGTGATGTATATCATCCTAGAATTTAAAATTACCAACTTAAAAATGAAATGAAGTATAATTCATTCCTCAAACTACCTCTTCTCTGGCAAACACCTATAGTACTTACACTGTGAGGGCCTGCTTCCATTTAGGACTGTGTGTGTTGTTGCACTTCTCAGTTCTCTTTGACTGGCCATCTACAGCTACCTCCACATATGGACTGGGACCAAACCAGTTCTTTTTGTTTTCCCTTAGCTTAGCGGACAGCACTGGGGGGGACACAATGCATAAGAACATATTATCTGAAATCGTCAGTGGCTGCAATTAAGAAAGTTGTTTCGACTTGACAGCACTGTTAAATCAGAAATATGTATTTTAAACATTTAACAGTTAGTACAAATAACTCCTCAGGTAAAATGTTTCTCAACAAGAATTATGACTGTCACATTAATTTACCTACTAATTGAATAATTAACCTAAATATATCCAATGAGAACTGTGAGTGGTGCAAAAGCATTTTGTCAGTGCCAAGCAAAACAAATTAGTAAAATTACACAAAATATGCTGAGGCACAGTTTTCATTCATCCATGATTTCATTACATAGTTCCATACAGAATCATCCTGTTTTATGTTAAAGTGAGAAGAGAGTCTAGGTGTATTTTGCTTAATTACTTTGATGCATACATTTCACAGAAATTATGAACTCCTTCTCCCACTTGATCTTTTTTGTCAAGTGCAATATATAGTTTCAAGATTCTAAACAGAAAAAACTGTGCTTGATTTGTTTTTATTATTGATTAACAATGAATGAATGAATATTTTTTTGTTCTGCAATTATTTGATCATTGCTAAATAATATGGAGGACAAGCAGTTTGATGTAAAACTTGAAAACATTGTCACAACATTTGTGTTTTTACAAACTTCCTTGGTGAAATTTCTATGTTAATTCTAGAAATAACTTACCAGTGACTTGCAATTGGGCCTTCATGGCTCATCCATAACACTAGATTCCAGTTTGTCTATGAAGAGCTGACCTGCTGGTAGAGACATCAAATGTGTAAATAAGGGAGCGTGCCATGCAGTTAACCGATTTAAAAAGCTGTCAGACTGCCACAGATTGTGCTACACTGGCAGATATGACATTGCTTTACTTCCAAAGATCCAGAAGGTATAGGGTGGAAATATTAAGGAACAATGCTCTTGAAACATTTTTTCAATATCTAGAGGCAGTATTTAGYGCACTGCAATAAGTGCAACTTGCATATTGCAAGCTAAACATTCCAGTTTAATTTGGCTACTTGCACGAACCCTTACGACCTCCCTGTATGCAAGAATTTAAAAAGTTGCATGCAGACCAAATTTATTTGGACTCATTATTTAGGTCTATGAAACTCTGTTTACAAAGATGTATATTTAGCCACTGTGGTGTGAAATTTATTCCTCAGACATGAAAGCACCACGTGAATATACATTAATTTAATCTCTCAGCTATTTCTAGAAACAGTCGACTGTCTTCCATAACAGTTAATCCCATTTTCAACTGAGCTACCTATACTCTACAAGATTCAAGATTCAAGTAGTTTAATTGTCAATGCTTCGTATGTGCAAAACATACAAAGAAATTGAAATTGCGTTACTCTCTTTCCCAATTACAACATTAAACAAGTAATCAACAGAATTTGCACAGTCCAATAACATTGTAAATAAACAAAAAAGTGACAATATGGACACAGATACAGATGAATTTGTGACATCAACACAAAAATAACAGGAAATGGAGGGGACTTCAGTAGTGCAAAAATAAAGATCTTTATACAAGAAAAAGTTGAATATTGCAATTATAGTGGAATAGAAGCTTAATGCTGGTAAAAGTAAAGTGAAGTGAAGGATGCATGAGTGTAAAGGTGATGTGTGCATACAGTTCTCACAGATTACGAGATAGATTTACAAGAGAATGTGACCACATAACTTTACAAATGTATTGCTGTGTGTATAAGTGTTTAAATAAGAGACAGCTGGGTTTCTTGTCGAGTTGTTTATAACCTACACCAGCACACCAGACACCATAAGTAAGAAAATAATGTTCTGTCATAGCTGTTATTAGCCAGCGCCGCGAGGGTGGAGAATTGTTTTATTTTTTTCTTCATTTGCTTTTTAAAGGGCTAAGAAACTAATAACATCTTACTCTGGTATTGCTAAGTTGTGCTACAAACTGCAAATAATATGCCTCAATATTAGTTTTCTTTGATAAGTTTCACTGCTTAGTGCAACTTCCTCAGCGACGTTCATGTCATAGCGAGCAACGACTAGCTGTACTAATTAATTCATGTAAGTAACGCTAACAGCATCCTGCGGGCCATTTAACAACTATGATCGTTCAGCCGACTCTAKTTATTTAGATTAAAATGAAACAGCCATACCTGACAAGCACAGGCGACAGAGGACCAGAGAGTCTACGAACTCAGCTGGTTCTAGACTGTTGACAGGAATTAGCCATAAACCGCACCAGTCCCGCTAGCTTGGAGAGCGGTCTAGCTAGTCCGGTTCATGCTTTTCAAAATAAAATAATTTCTCAATAAAATCAAATTAAATACGTCGATTTGACTCTTGATTAAAGCGTGAACAACATTTTTTTTTACTTATTTTGCTTACTTAAGTTCTTATACTTGAATTTGATGGGAAATTTATTAATACATTTGCTGCTTAGTGTCGTTGCTAGATCTGCATTTTATTAAATATTTTATTTTGAAAGTTAGAAGGAAGTTCATTTACGACTTTTTATGACATTAAGGAATAACAAAAAACTAAAATAAAATTATTCGTGCAACGCTATCGCATGTTTTTTCTTCTTCTTTTTAAAGTCTCATAGCTGTTTATTGTTTTATTGTTCAAAAAGTAAAAATGAACCCACAGAATAGAACACGCCCACATGTGACTAGCTGAAGCTGGAGCTTCGTCTCGTGACCTGTCTCATTGTTGCTAACCAGCTGACAGTAGTCTGATCATGAGAAAAAGCGGTTTTTATCTGTAAATAAGTTAATATTTGCCAAATATTCACAACGACTAGAGAGAAAATGTTGTCACGCTTGCTAAAGGAGCATCAGGCGAAGCAAAATGAGCGGAAGGAACTTCAGGGTGGGGCGAAACAACCACAACTCGCGCAATCATGCTAACTGATGCTAAAAACAAACTTGTGGAATAGCTACGGTTCATAAAATCTGTTCTTTCTTGCGCAGAAAAACGAAGACGTGAAGCTATTACTGCAGCTACCTGTCTCACTGAAGCGTTGGTGGACCACCTTAACGTTGGGTATGATGATGGCGTTTGATTTGCCACCCTGTATCATCATTTGTATAATTTAATTTGTACATTAAATACTTTTGCAATATAAAATACTTTACTCTCTGTTTTTAAAGCTATGCTACTCATTGATTTTATTCATAGTTAATAGGTTTATTGAAAAATTGACTGTAATGTGACATATGATATAAAATGTTTCAACTGAAGCACAATTTAGATATCACTTTACAGACTTTGCTTTATTTTGTGTGGTTCAACCCACCTCTCCTTCTTGTTGTCTTCCTGTGAGCCATTCCTGGCTGGATAAAATTGGCCTACTATGTAACACAAACACTAATAATATGTTGAGAACATTGCTATTATGAAACATGTGATGAAACCAAATCAAGCAGCAGGTTGGGATGAAGAAGCCAACGTCATACTTTATGAAAGAGATTAGAACAAAAGTCTTAGTAACTTTATTAGACTTTCATAAGCAGTTGTTCTGTACAGACACTGAACGGTTTAATTCTAACTTTCTTGTGCATATATAGGCACAAAGGTTAAAAATGCTAAATGTCATTTTTCCACAAATTAAAACTCATTCTTGTGTTCTCTTTTACTCAAGTGTTGCTCAGGCATACGTGAACCAACGCAAACTGGACCATGAGGTCAAGACTTTGCAAGTGCAGGCGAGCCAATTCTCCAAGCAAACTGCTCAGTGGATCAGCATGGTGGAGGGTTTCAATCAGGCTTTAAAGGTAAGTTAACACTGCATCCAAAGTGACACCTTAGTTTTGTTTGATTATATTATACTATATTATATTAATTAAATTAAAAAACAAAATGTGTCCAAACATATGCTTTGAAGGATAAAGTTGCTTCCACTCATGGATGTTACTGTTCCTTACTCTGAGCAGGAATTGTGTGTCGTTATACTGCCCCCTCAGGGTTTTGGGGTATCAATAATGAAAGAAAGAAATTCAATAAGAATTAAAAGACATACTGTTTTTTTATACAGTCTTATTGCTAATTTAGTAGTTTTCTAAATTAAATTTAAATTAATATTTGAAGCTGCTTTTGTTTAGCAGTGGTACATAGTGATTACCCATGATGACCATGTCCACTTTTTTGTTTTGTTTTATCAAACAGGAAATTGGGGATGTTGAGAACTGGGCACGCAGTATTGAGATGGACATGAGAACAATCGCCACAGCTCTGGAGTACGTACATAAGGGACAGCTTCAGTCTGCTGGATCGTAAACTCCACAGTGTGTTTGTGTGGGACTTTTACTACTGAACATGTAAAGACTGGAATAAAACATTTATCCAGTCCAGTTGAGCTCATTCAGTGAAGAAATAACTTTGCTCGTCTGCACGCTCCTCTGAGTGGACTGAAGCTGGCATTTTGCAGATGGATGTCAACAGTTTGTTGCATTTGAAGTTTTTTTATTTTATTTTATTTTTGTAGCATCACTACTGAGAAGAGTAAGCATGATAGGTTTGCCGATAAATCAAAAATACCGTTTGTGTGGATATCTCTGTGAGTTGTTTGTTTTGATTTGAAAGAGAAAATGAGTTTTTACATTGAGAAACTTGAAAGCGTCCCAGACAAATGTCTGTCTCAAACTTGTCTCCCTGTTTGAGGTATTTCTGTAAAAGCATGGAATAGGATAAATTTGGTGTTTGCACCTTAGCTGAAAAAAAAAGCAGGTCTGTATTCGGGCTAGGGTTGGGCATAATTGTATCATGTGCAATTAATCGTAAGAAAAACAATCGATTATTTTTTGGCACTTGATGATTAATTTGATTAATACCACCAGGCAGACTGACTGGAGATWTCTCCAGTCAGTCTGCTCGGTGCTCCTCTCCGCTTCAAATATGACGAACGTTTAAAACAACATTCTGTAATTTATTCATCTATCAACACAATTTGATGTATAGCCTGAAGTCTGGTGAAGTCTAGTAAGGGTGTCCAGGGACTCCAGGGCATTTTTTGTCAAATTAATCATTATCGGCTAAATACCACAATTAATGTGATGAATTTTTTTGCCAACGTTGCCCAACTCTAATTCAGGCACATCTGTGAACAGAGAGGATTGTTCTGTTTGTCTTCTTGTAATGAGATGTTTTTCAATAAAACTTGGAAAAAAACAAGTCTTGTTTTTTTATAAAGCATTTTTTTTTTGTAAATGTATAGGTTTTAATTAAAAAAAAACAGCAGAGAGGCTTAAGTTAAAATGAAGCTGAAGTGAGCTTGAATTTATATTAATTT